CCAGACTCCTCTGTACATAGGATTCTCCAGGCAAGAATACTGGAGTGGGCTGCCATGCCCTGCTCCAGGGGATCTTTCTGATTCAGGGATCAAATCCATGTCTCCTGCATTGGCAGGTAGGTTCTTTACCACTAGCACCACCTGGGAATCCCCTAGGAGTCTGCTGAGTCTACCCTACTTCCGACCATCGCTGGGCCATCAGGGCATGAGTTGGCTCCTTTGTCTAATCCAAGCAGTGACCTCAGTAGTTTTTTCACCAGATGGAAACATACAACCTATTATTTAAGGACCACATCAGAAGCTGTTCTTCCAATCCTAAGCACCCAGGGATGGGGGAGTGGGCTTACAAGTCCTAAGAAGCGGACAAAGGAAAGAGTGACAGACATGCCCAGAGTCCAGCTTTTTCTCCAGGCCCCGTGCCATCCCCCCTTCCATGCTGGGAGATGAACGTGCAGGTGTATCCAGCTGTGGCCCAAGTTACGCAACCTCAGAGTATTTTTTGCTGGGCTGGCACACGGGCATTTCAACACCCAGACAAATGTGGGTTATTCAGAGGGCAGAGTGGAAGCAGCGAGGGGCAGGGAGGAGGGAGAGGTGTGGTCCAGCCCCAGGCAGACCAGGTTCTGGGGCAGAAGAGGACTTTGAAAGAGCTGAACCAGGAGCACTTGAAAGGTGGACTGAGTTAAGCAGGAGCCTGAGGGATGGCCTCGGATCAGCCCTAGGGCGGTGATGGAGGGAGGTGTGTGGAAAGGATGGACTTGCTTATTGTTCTACCCCCAGGGTAGGCAGGGGGTCTGCACTACTTCATTCCTGGGCCAGAAGGTCTTAGCAGCAAGCAGAGGGCCTACAGACAGCCAGCGCTCAGACTGTATCGACCAAATTGATGCAAATAACCTCACCCAAGAAGGCAGGCAGAGATTACCACCACAGAGAAAAGCCGCTACCTTCTACTGGGGACGGAGCACGTGCCAGGCACCAGGCCAAACACTTTACATACATTATTTCATGTAATCCTCTCAGAACCCAGAGAGGTGGGTCCTGCTATTATTATTCCCATCTTGTCAATGTGAAATCGGGCCTGCAAGAGGCAGGCGCTGGCCCCAGGTTGTGCAGTCAGCTAGCTGTTAGCCCCACAGTTACAACTCGGCGCTGAGGGGCCGTGGAGATGCCAGCCTACCAGACAGAGCTGAAGACAAATGTTCACCTTCAAGGTGAGGCCACCTCAAGGAGGGAGGCCAGGAAGCAGCCAGGAAAAGACTCTGAAAGTGGCTCAGGGAATTCCCTGGTGGTGCAGTGGTTAGGACTCTATGATCTCATTGCCAAGGGCCTGGGTTCGATTCCTGGTCAGGGAACGAAGGGTCCCAGAAACCAAGTGGCCTGGCCAAAAAGAAAGAAAGAAAGAAAGAAAGCGGCTTGCATGGGACTTCTCAGGGCAGCCATGACCTTGAGTGCCGGCTTGGGGTCAGAGGACAAACAGCTGATTCAGGCCAATGCCATGTCCTCTCTGCTCAATGGGGTTTTGTTGACTGAAGTTTGCAGGCTTATGGGTTTCTGTGCAATCTAGACTGGAAACACTGTGTCCAGAGTTTTCCAGCCAGGCACTTCTGAGGCAGTTGGAGGAGGGGGTGGGCAGGGGGGTGGGATTCATAGCTCCTTTAATTGCCCAAATAAGGGGACCCAATGTGACTTTCACAAGCAGAAGAGCAGGTTGTTTTGTTTCTGCCCACATGGCCAGGCTGGATGCACTGCACACCCAGGGCCCTGTTTCCACTTCGCATCTCTCCTGTTCCTGACCACACAGTCTCTGATGCAATAGAACCAAGTTTCCACACTCCCTTTTGAAGCATTCCTTTCACAGGGACAAGAGACTTCCTCTTAAGGCCTCTGATGCCCGAGCTGACCCTGGAGCCCCCAGTCCTCCTCCCCACCGCCCCGATCCTGTTCACTGGGTGAGACCACAAGTGGGGCACCCCCTTCTGATGGCCCCAGGCACTTGCTGCTGATCAACAGCAACCAGGGCTCCATACAAAGGGCGCAGACGCAGACTTTTCAGGATTCTGCTTTAAACCACAGACACAGGCCATTCGCCCTAGGCACCCTGGACCTTCGGGGAGTTTCGGTAGGAATTCAGAATAGTGAGGGCAGGTGGCAGGAAGAAGGGTGTGTTCTCCATGAGGGAGGGGCCTGGGGCTTCAAGCCCAACATCCCATGGTCACCACAGGCCTGGCCAGCATGGGCTCACTGCCAGGAATATCTAACGAGCCCCCAGGGATGAGACAGGAAACCGCGTCAGGCCACGCTCTGAGGGTGCGCCCGCTCAGTCCCCAGGGCATTCCCCTCTGGGGCTACCAGCAGCTGGGAGGACCTGCATGTAGACGGCAGCAGGGCGTCACGACCTGGAGCAAAGTCAGGGAGGCGAACACTCTGGGTGTAATGCAGCTTAGTAAAGTGTGGATACTCACACTCACGCGCTCAGGTGCTACTCAATGATGCCAGGGCTTTGGTGGGACTTCCCTGGTGGCCAAGGGGCTAAGGCTGCACGCTCCCAACGCTGGGGGTCTGGGATCGCTACCTGATCAGGGAACTAGATCCCACAAGCCGCAACTAAAGACCCTGTGTGCCACAATAAAGACTGAAGGCCCTGAATACTGCAACTAAGACCTGGTGCAGCCTAGTAAATAAACTAATTAAAAGAAAAAAAGAAAAAGAGGACCCTTCTGCATAGACCCAGCTTCAGGCACACAGTGGAAAATCTTTTTCATGAGGCTCCACAGCTTGGAAAGCAGAGTATACGAACTGCATTGCAGGCCCTCAACCCCTCAGCTGGTCGCCTCTGTGCCATGAACCAAATGCATGCACCTGCACAGTCCTCACAGGTGAGCCTGAGTGTCTTCTTTTAGGGGGTTAGGATTTTACCACACGAATTGTGGGAGTACACAGACACCCACACTGCAGCACCAAGCTGACCTGTGCAGGGGGTGCTGGCGTGCACGGCCTGGCCACAGGGCCGGATGTGTGGATGTGGGCCAGGCCTTCGGTGTGGGCAGTTAACAGCCAAGTGTTCCAGCCGCTCTCAGGAAGCAGGCCCTCTCAGTTCCTCCTCACAGCTCCCCTCTCCACTTTTCCTTCCCTTCTCTGTCGTTAATCATCCTATGAGTGGTACCCGGCCAGCTTCAGAGGTGGACCCAATACCTGCTACAGTTGACACACCCCCGTGAGCCGGCCCAGCTTTCCCGGGGCCGGAAGTAGCCCATCACAGCCTTTGCCTCCCTCCTCATCTCACCATCGCGCAAAGGGAGGGGCAGCGAGGCAGCCAGGCAGCAGGCCTGGGTCCGGATACACCTGTGAGCCTCAGTCACCCGGCTGGAGCGCTCATCGGGCTGTGGTCAAGCTAACGCCCCAGCATTGCCCTCCCCCATCCCGGGGGCAGAATCACCCCGGCTCTGGGCAGCATGTGTCGAAGCCCATGCTGACACGTGGCAATAATGATAGCTAACACTTATGGAGCGGCTTTTATGTACCAAGCCCTGTCCTAAGGACTTTTCAAACAGAAGCTGATTTAATCCTCTCAATTCGGAGGTGGGTGTTATCATTATCCCTGTTTTACAGATGAGGAAATGAAGGCCCAAAGAGGTTAAGCAGCTTGCTCAAGGTCACACAATTACCTAGTGGCAGAGAAAGGATTTGAACTCTGGGCATCTTCTCAGTACTATCCTGCAATGTTTCAGACAGGGTTTCCCCAGTGGCCCAGACTTACTTTAAGGACCGATTCTGCTCCTCTTTCTTATTGTAAATGGAATGCTTTTTAAAAATTTTTGGCCATACTGAAAGGTATGTGGGATCTTACTTCCCTTACCAGGGATCGAACCCCACACCCTGCATTGGAAACTCTGAGTCTTACCCACTGGACAACCAGGCAAGTCCCAGTAAATGAAATGCTTTTAGAAGCGGAGATGCTGTAAAAACAAGTAAGCCTGGTACAGTTTTGATCTGTAAACTCTATTTTATACATCCTTTATTCTAATTCACTCAGTATGACACCCAACAAGTTTAAGGGCTTGGAGAAACAACATCTGTTGGGCACCTACATATGTTGCCTAGTCTCATGAAATCTCCAAGATAGCCTCGCAAAAAATCCTATGACAGTGCCCATTTTATGGATGAGCAAACTGGGGCACGGGGAAAAAGGACTCACTTGCTCAGTGGCAGAAATGGAATTGGAATCCAGGTGCCTCTGATTTCAAAGAGTTAAAACAGCAACTAGACGAAAGGGGAAGTAAGGATCGGGAAGAGTGGAGGGCTGGAAGGGAGGGAGCCAGATGTGAGAAGCAGATGTGAGTACCAGACAGGGAACCTGGTCAAGGAGGATGGTGCCCCCGGTGACTCCGGGGAGGGGTCCTGCGGTGGCTTCCAGGCCCTGGGGGTATCCCACCACGCCTGGGCAGGGGGCGCAGGCTGCGCCGTCTCGCTAGAGTGAAAAGGCGGAGGGAGAATGGGGCACCCGCCGCGGTTCCCGAGTCCTGCTCCGACTTGCTGTAACACCAGAACCCCAGTGTTTACTGGACGGCATCAAGGGCCCCTCCACCCCGCGCTGCCCTCGGGGGGCGGCACCGCGGCTGGCTCTGGTCAGCATCAAAGACAAGCAGATGTACAGGCGGACCAGCGGGCAGCCAGCACCGGGGGTGGGGGGCATGGGGGCAGCGTCAGCGCCGAAAGGGCGCCGTACCAGGGGGCGACGGAGCGGCCCAAAGACCCCCTCCCTGCCCATTAAAAGAATGGAAGAAAGAGACCTGCGGCTCCACAGCTCCCCTCTCCTCTCCTCCCTCCCTCCCAGCAGCGTGCTGGAAGGAGGAGGGCTCCTCATGGACCCCAAGCCTCCGACAGACCCCCTCCCTTCCCCTCTCCTTTGTCACCACCACCTCCGCCAGAGCCACCTCTCCGGCCCCCTCCCCTCCCCCAGACCCCGGCCCGCGTCCTCCGCGGGGTCGCCCAGCACTCACCGAGAGGCAGGCTGATCCGAGGGGTGAGCGCCCGAGAGGGAGACGGCGGTAGCAGCGGCAGCAGCAGCAGCAGCAGCAGCGGCAGCGCGCCCAGCGGGGCGGCCGCTCGGCTCCCCCGGCCCATCGCGGCGCGCCGGACTCGGACCGCGGGGAGCGACGGCGTCCTCCGGGCTCGGCTCAGGTGGCTCTCCGGGACTCGCGGGCGGCAAGCCCGCCCCGAAGTCCGGCCCCGGAGTGGGCTGGCCGCCCCCGCCTCCGGACCTAGGGGGCTGGAGCGGGGTGGGAAGTGGGGTCACGTGGCTGCGCGCACGCTCGCCCCTCCGCCCGCCCCCTCCCCGGCACCGCGGTCCTCCGCCGGGCCCGCTCGATCGAAGCTCGCCCGCGAGCGCGGCTGGGAGGGGCCGAAGGAGGAAGTTGGGCGGTTGGTCCAACCCCTCGCGGCTCAGCTCCCGGCCCGACCCGCCCCTTTCCCCTTCCTCCTTCCTGGGCGCTGGAGGCTCCAGGGGCGCCAGCGGGGGTGCACCTACCTCGGTGTGCGCCAGGCAGGAGCCGAGCCGGGCTATTAGCAGCAGCAGAGGCCGCGGGGGCGCGGAAGAAAGCAGACCCCTGGTTCCCCGCCCCTACCTCTCAGACCCTCCCACCGCCGCCCTGGCCCCTTCCGGCTCCTCGGGGACCCTCTGCGCGTTTGTTTGGGAAAACGTGTGGGTCTCTGCACTGGGAGTGCGTGTCTTCTCCCTTTATCCCTGCCGGCCCCCGCCCCCTCACGCCCCCAGCGCTCCTGGCACCCACATATCGGTAACCAAATGAACTCCGCCGAGCTGCTGCGGACTCCGGGCTAGCTGCTTCTGCACGTAATTTTTGCATGGGTCAGTCCACTTTAGGTCTTGGCTGAGGGTTCACTCCAAGCTTGACACTTAATCTAGATGCCCGCGTGGTCATCCACGCTTGGAATTCTGTCCACACGAAGCCAGACCTCGGATGGGGGGAATCCGGGCAAAATTAGCTTAAGTGGGATAATAGGATTTAATGTACTGCCAAGGACGTGAGACTTTCTCCACAACTGCACGTGGCCTGGCAGCGGATAGTACTCCCTAAGGCTGGAATCCCAGAGGCACCCACCCCCGGTCCTCCTGTGGTCTGAGTACCCAGGGGTGGAGTTCAGTAGTGCTGAGACCGGGGGTTTCAAACTGCGCACAGGATCCCTTAGTGGATCCTGAAATCAAGTTAGTGAATCCCTATCAACATTAAAAACAAAGAAACTGAATGGAAGATACCAAAGTGCAATGATCGTAGAAAGGATAAGGAAAATTTAGGAAGCCTGGTTCAGCTTTTCTCAACTGAGCACAGGATCACGTGCATGCATCCTGTGGTGCTGTTGCTTGCCTCGCTTCTGACTCTTTGCGGCCCCGTGGACTGTAACCCTCCAGGCCTCTCTGTCCATGGGATTCTCCAGGCAAGAATACTGGAGTGAGCTGCCATGCCCTCCTCCAGGGCATCTTCCCAACTCAGGGATCAAACCAGTGTCTCTTATGTCTCCTGTATTGGCAGGAGGGTTCTTGACTAATAGCGCCACCCGGGGAAGCCCTTGCACAGGGTCACAGTAAAATGTAATTCTTCCTGTAGTCCAAGTCAAAAGGATTTGGAAAACCTCTGCCAGTCATTTCCATGGCAGTAGGGACAGTTTCTCCAGGAATTAGCTGCAATGACTGGAAAGTTCCTCTTCATCCCCAGCCCACAATGAGCTTTCTCAGAGCCAGCATCATTGGCTCTCACCCTATTCCCAGGGCCTCCCACAGGGTGACTGACAAGGGGTGGACTCAGTGCTCACATGGTCCCAGGTCTCCTCATGAACACTCAAGCTTCCATGATCTCTGTGTCTCCACCTTCTAGACTGGTGGCACCCTTTTTAAAGGGTCGTCCAGCACTGGACACAGAATTCCGCCTGGCTCGTGGGCAGCACCAACTACCCGTAGTTCTCGCATTACCCAGGCCTGGGACAATTTGCCATATCAATGGTGTCGAAACATCTCTAGTCAGTGACATCCATTCTATCTGTAGCTAGGTGTGTGCTCACTCAGTCATGTTGGACTCTTTGTGACCCCATAAACTGTAGCCCACCAGGCTCCTCTGTCCATGGGATCTTCCCCGGCAAGAATACTAGAGTGGGTTGCCATTTCCTCCTCCAGAGGATCTTCTCAACCCAGGGATCGAACCTGAGCCTCCTGCATTGGCAGGTGAACGCTTTACCACTATGCCACCCGAGAAGCCTTGTAACTAGGACCTTTGTCCTAAATTCCAAATGGCCTTGACATTTCTACAAGGCTGTCTTATCTGATAGGTATCTAAAATTCAGTGTGGTTCCAAATGCTCCATTAATGTGAGCCTCCTCCATCCCATTTAATAGCAAGTCTGTCTTTGAATTGCTCAGGTTAAAAACCTTAATTCATTTCTCGTCTCTTGCTCCTCATACTCAATCCACTAGCAAAGCTATAATCTGACCACTTATCACCTCCTGGGGTCCAAGTTACTGCCCGATCCTCGTATCCGACTCTTTGTGACCCCATTGACTGTAGCCCACCAGGCTTCTTTGTCCCTGAGTTTTCCAGGCAAGAAAAGGAGTGTGTTGCCATTTCTTACTCCAGGGATCTTCCCAACCCAGGGATCGAACCCACATCTCTGGCATCCCCTGTGTTCAGGCAGGTTCTTTACCGCTAGCACCACCTGGGAAGTTTCTACCCTTGTTATAGTTCAGTCACTCAGTCGTGTCTGACTCTTTGCAACCCCATGGAGTGCAGCAAGCCAGGCTTCTCTGTCATCACCAACTTCCTGAGTTTGCTCAAACTCAAGTCCATCGAGTCGGTGACACCAGCCAACCATCTCCTCCTCTGTCGTCCCCTTCTCCTCCTGCTTTCAATCTTTCCCAGCATCAGGGTCTTTTCCAATGAGTCAGCTCTTCGAATCAGGTGGCACAAGTATTGGAGCTTTAATTTCAGCATCAGTCCTTCCGATGAATATTCAGGGTTGATTTCCTTTAGGATTGACTTGTTTGATCTCCTTGCTGTCCAAGGGACTCTCAAGAGTCTTTTCCAGCACCACAATTCGAAAGCATTGAATCTTCAGTGCTCAGCCTTTTTTATTGTCCAGCTCTCACATCCATGCATGGCTACTGGATTCCAAACCATAGCTTTGACTACCCTTGGGCTTTCCTGGTGCCTCAGCTGGGAAAGAATCCGCCAGCAATCCGGGAGACCTGGGTTCGATCCCTGGGTTGGGAAGATCCCTTGGAGAAGGGAACGGCTACCCACTCCAATATTCCGGCCTGGAGAATCCCATGGACTGTAGCCTATGTGGTCACAAACAGTCAGACACGACTGAGTGACTTTCACTTTGACGACCCTTGAGCAGTTCTCAATCTCTTCTCAACTCAGCAGCCAGAGTGAGTTTTTCAAAACCAAAGTCAGGTCATGGCACTCCTGTGCTCAGAACCCTCCAGGGGTTCCTTAGAGTGGTGGGCAAGGCTCCAGCTTACCTCAGCCCCACACCCACTGCATCATCCACTGCTCTCCCCACCCCTCACTCACTCTACCACAGGCACTCGTGTGGACGAACACTCTTAAGACCTTTGCCCTGGCTCCTCCCTCTGCCTGGAGTTCTCTACCCAGAAAGTGATTGAGTTCCTCGTTTCCTGCAAATCTTTCTCAAAGGTCACCTTCTTAGTCATAAAAAAAGAACAAAATAATGCCATTTGCAGCAACATGGATGCACCTTGAGATTATCATACTGAGTGAAGTTAAGTCAGAAAGACAAATATCACATGATATTGTTTATATGTGGAATATCAAAAAAGGCTGCAACAGACTTGTTGTGGACACAGCTGGGAAGGAGAGGGTGGAATGAACTGAAACCTATACATCACCATATGTAAACAGATAGCTAATAGGAAGCTGCTGTGTAACAGTGGGAACTCAGCCCAGCGCTCTGTGACAACTTAGAGGGTGAGATGGGGGGTGAGATGGGAGGTTCCAGAGGGAAGGGCTATATGTATACTTGAGGCTGATTCACTTTGTTGTACAGCAGAAACCAATACAACATTTAAAGCAATTATCCACCAATTATAAATAAATATAAAAAGGCTACAAATGAACTTATCTACAAAACTGAAATAGAGTTACAGATATAGAAAATAAACTTATGGTCGCAGGGTAGAGGGGAGGGAGGGATAAACTGGAAGATTGGGGCTGACACATACACACCACTATGTACAAAACATAACATAAGGAGTTACTGTATAGCACAGGAAATTCTACCCAATACTCTGTAATGACCTATATGGGAAAAAAAATCTAAAAAAGAGTGGATGCATGATTTTGTATAAAAGATTCACTTTTCTGTGCTCTTGAAACTAAAACAACATTGTAAATCAATTATACTCCAATTAAAAAAAAGAAAAAAGATCACCTTCTTGAAGAATCCGAAGTTCCTCCAATATTCCCCTTTCCCTGAGATGTTTTTTCAAAGTGCTCATCATCTTCTAATACACTATATGATTTGCTTATTTGTTGTGGTTTTTCTTTATTGTCTGAACCTCTCACCTGCCTTCTCACCCTCAAGAAATGTTGACTGAGGAAGGCAAGTATTTTTGCTCCTTTGGCTTGGTAAATAAGCTATCCATAGCCTCTAGAACAGTGCCTGGCATATGGTTAACCCTCAGTCAGTACTGGCTGAGTGAATGAATAAATGAACGCAGCCTCAGAGTCACGGAATACTGCTGTCCCATGTCTACTAACAACTAGAGCTCCTTTTTGATACTCAACTTTGGTTTGGAATTCCCTGAAACCAGAAATGATGCAATTAACTTTTTTAACCTATGCACAAGACTTTGTATTGATCTCCTTTAAATCTTTTGGTTCTGGTCCAGATCTCATCCTATTGAGGTCATTGTGAATATTGATTCTATCATGCAATTGGCTTCCCCTCCCAGTTCTGAGTCATCTATAAATCTGATGAGCATTCTTGACCATTATTCAAGTCACTGATAAAAATATGAGATGAGCAGACCTAGCACCCACTTCTTGGTTTCTAAATATCACTCTTTAATAAAAGGCGACAGAACTCCTTGGAGAAATGAAAGGGAAAGTAAAAGGTGAACCTGGGACGTTGCATTGGGCC